CTGCCCCTCATTCTTTCCCTCCTTCCTCACCACTGCCCCTCATGATTTTCCCAGCCAGTTTGGCATCCATTCCCTATTGCTTTCTCCATCTGTAGCAAATTGCCAATATCTAGAATCCACAGTTGGCTCGCCAGCCATTGGACACAGGCTTGCTCACCTCACCTGAGTGCTCAGATCAGCCTTGTTTCAGACCAGTGTCACGGTTCGGGCCCCTGAGCCAGCAGGCTCTCGTAGTATCATTAGCAGCGTTGATATTTCCTGCGAGCACTGCGTTCTCTGACAGTGCAGGCTTTGCGAATGTTTGCTGCTACGGGCATAGGTTCTGAGTCGTGTTCTAATGGTAGTTGTTAATAGTAACCCACTCTAAATTAGCATAATGGAGAGTTTTAGTCTCCTTTAATTCTGTATTAACGCAGCCTGGAATTTATTTTTGAAGGTTAACATCGTTAAGCCTGTTGGCATATTCGGGAGTAGTCGAATTAGTGTTAAGATCTGGGTTGTTTTTCCTTGATAACCCTCATCTCCTGCTGTCAGCATCAAGGCCTTCCTTAAGACAAACACCAGAGATCTTAGTGGTTATTATCTGACCCACAGTTGCTGCGGGAAGTTCTCCCTCATCAAGCTCCTGCTGCAGAAACTCGGTGCCCTCCCTCCCTCCCTCTCCAAGATTTCCCGACATTCTCCTGCTGAAGATGTCGGTCCTGCTGTTTCTGCCCCGGCCCCTAAGGATTCACCCCGTGGCGGGCTGCTTCTGTCTGCTGCAGCAGGAGACACACACCAAAGGCCAGACGGGAGGCGGGGCACCCTCTGCCTGAGAGAGAGCTTTTCAGTGCCTGAGTGCTCCTCGCGTTGCAGAGAGCCCTCGGTCAGACCTGCTGCCCTGAGCCCGCCAGCGCCCCTTCTCAGCACTGCTGTCTGCCTCAGGCTAGCACTACCGTCCACACCCTGCAGCCTCCCAGCTGTGACCCGGGTTCTTCCTGTGGAGTCCCTCCCTCTCCTCAGCAGCCTCAGTCAGAGGGGGATGGAGAGGCTCACAACCCCATGGCCCGGAGCCCGACCGCCCGCTGAAGGCCGTTCTCCTTCTGTAGCTTCCAGCGTTTGAGCACTTTCTCCTTCACTGCATTTTCTTTAAATAAAACTGCCTTTCAGATGAATGAACAGCATCATAGTCTTGTAGTAACATGGCAGAAATGTTAAACCAGTTATGGAGGCCATCAAATATTAGAAATAATGCAGCTGGAAAAGACTTGGTCAGCTCTGGTTGTGACCGGCACAAATGTCCTCCGCGGGTCTTGAGATTAGATTACTATTAAATACTTCTTAAATTGGAAAGACTTTCTCTTCTGAAGGCAGGTTTTGCTGTCTGAACCGGCCGGTGCTGCCCTTGCTCGGCTCAGAGGCACCTGGTTTATAAGGGAGGCTCTGCTGCAGCACACCGGGGCCCTGCCCGAGGCCTGCAGACGGGCGGAGCTGCGAGCGCTTCGGGACCGCGTGTCTCTGTCCCAGGGTTGGCAGCCCTTTCAGGGATGCGGTTTAATCCTCATTCCTCTCTTTTTCTGCAAGTGCTCAGTGGGACCCTGGTTACTTTAGATGCAGAATCATTTTCCCAATGACTTTGCAGGTTTGGTAAGTGGGCCTCCATCTCTGTTCCCCATGGCCTGCGTGGTAGCTCTCACCACGTCCCCTGCCAGAGCACGGTTGTGCTCTGCTATTGCCCACTTTTTCTTTGACTTCTAAGTTATCTTTGCGTTGGATGATGCTCACTCTCAGAATTGACGTTCCCTGTCTGCCTGAGGGGCATTGACTAGGTGCTGAAAGTGGTGGAGGGGGCGGTTCGGAGACACACTCAGCGGTACCTTCTGTTTCTCTTTGTAGAGTCCGTTTAGTAGAAAGAGGATCTCCTCATAGCTTGCCTCTGATGGAGTCAGGAAAAGTAAGTATTAAAGGAAGAATATGCATTTCTGTGCAAGTATGAGTCTCATTGTATGGGCTTTGAAATTTTAAGAAATGTATTTTGTAGGATATTTTTTCCAAAAGTTTTTCTTGAATGTAATGTATCAGGACTAGGTTTGGCCAAGAGCACAGAAACTCAAAATGACAGTGTTTTAAACAAGTTAGTTGTTTTTTTCTCACGTAAAAGAAACCATGAAAATACCAGGGTTTAAAGTGGCTGCTCTAGCCCCAACCATCATTTCCAATTCCAGCCAGCAGGGAGAGAAACTGAAAATGAAGGAAACAAAAGGTGCAGACCTTAAGGAAGGTTCCTAAGCTGCCTTACTCACACTTAATACCATTGGCCAGAGTTTAGTCACATAGCCATGCCTAGCTGAAAGGAAGGTTGGGAATATCATATTGTTTCTGAATATCTACAGACCTAGCCAAAAATCATTTACTATGGAAACAGACAAAGAATGGTTATCAGGGGACAACTAGTAGTTCCTGCCACAGTAGTTATGTTTTTTATAGAACTAAAGAGAAAGAAATGTATTTAAACCTAAATGAAGACTTTTTTTTTTTCTTTTTTGGCCCCAATTATCAGATCTCTTCTCCACTTGACATAATTCTGAAAGCATCTTATGTTGCTTCTGGACCTTTTATAATCAGTGTCTACACAACCGCCAATTAGAATTCTTCGTACTGAGTTGGTTCTAATGGTAGGAAGCAGTCCCTACCTGCCCGCCCAGACTCAGTCGAGGGGACCATGAGTCAGACACAGAGACCAGAGCTGCATGGCACACTTCAGATGCAAGGGACAGGATGGCTTTTCCGAGAGTTGTGCCCACATCTCAGCCATACAATGTGAACTTAGCTGAACCGAGACAGACTGCATTCTAGATTTCCAGAATCAGCGTTTGCTTCCTTGCTTACATGGTTTCAGTGGAATTCGGAATATTTCTAAGCTAAACTTCCATTAAGAAGGAGATGCTAAATATCGACATTATAATAAAAGATGTTCGCCAGGGGTTCTAGCCATAACACACTAGGCTGCTCCAGCAGCGACACATGGCTCTCACTTCTGGCCCCACTAAAGCAGCTTCCCCCTCAATCATTTTGCCATGCCTGCCTTATTTTTGAGTCCACATTCATCTCCAAAAACTTCAACCCTGACTTCCTTAACTCAGTGCCTACTGCAAGCATCACCCTTCATTCACGCTAACATGCCGTGATGCGAGGCATAATATTAAATATAATTGAAAAAAGTTAATTGAAATAACTGAAAATTCCTATTTTGCGAGCATCAGGCTGTGTTAAATTGTATCATTTATCACATTTTTGTTCAAATTATTAATTTTAAGATCATTTTAACACGGGCCCTGTCACTGTAGTAATCACTACAATGAAATGCCATTGTTATGCTGTAATTACGTGGGGCCTTGCTATGTAACTTTGAGTTAAAGCCATACCACTTCCTAAATGATTTTAGAAAGGAAATCAGGCACGCGGCATGAAGGCCACATTGAGGTTGATTGCTGTGTAGTGTCTACCTGTCTGTCTACTGACGAGAATGTTCTCCTTTCCCACATAGATACTTCCAGGGGTTCGGATCATAATCGCCAATCCAGAAACAAAAGGACCGCTGGGAGACTCACACCTGGGTGAGGTGAGTATGAGGTGTCCACGTGGGTGAGGTGAGTTGTGGGGTGTCTACCTGGGTGAGGCGAATACGGGGTGGCCTCTGAGACCAAGTTTACTTTCCTGCTACACCGCTCCTGTTCTCGACACCAGTAAACAGGACCCCATGTCATATTCCGTATAAACTGGAGAAGTCACGACTGACTAGCTGGGAAATAACTTGAGATAAGCCTTATTGCTTAAATAAGTCCCTGAAAGTTCAGGATTACAAAATAGAGTTTCCTTTAGGAAGTGTGATAGGTTTTCTTCAAAGAATTTAGAAAAGAGAAAACAGTGTAGGTGGACTGAGTGTCCTTGTTTCCCGCGTGCCTGCCTTCATTGCTGGGAGGGCCTTCCTCAGAGAACGGTAGAGAAGATGCAGCTGGTAACAGCGTCAGTAAGGGTAGCACGCGAGTTAGGGAGTGACAGATCCTCCTTTTGGTCCGAAGGTGGCCCTTTGCACTTTGTTCATTGTGTCTGCAACGAGCACACTCGGGCCTTCTGTTTCCCATTTGTTGATGTTACGTGCCGTTATGTGCTTCCCTCTTAGAGGTAGTTTTGTTTTGTGTTGTTTCATTGCAGTATATTTCCAAAAGTGTGCAAACCATGTGAAAGGGAAAAATAAATCCTAAAGCTTTTCAACATTTTTCCAGATTGCTTTTTAGAAACAACCATTACGTTTGAATAAGTGCAAGGAAACTAGTACAACTTTGTTCATTCGATATGCTTATTTTTAAAACCCAGTTAGTCTGCTTTAGCAGAATTCTCGATGGGTGGATGGCTCCATTGTTTGCTTAGCCACAGGCTTGCTGTAGAGACCTTATTTCAGTGAACTTTGTGGCATCTGTGTCTCCCCAGAAACCTGAATGAGATCAGCATCGTCTTGTTGTTACAGTCCAAGGACACTTTCAATATCACTGAATATAGTGTACTGGATTGTAACGGTAGTTTCTTCCCTGGAGATAGCCTCAGGTTAACTTATCTAGTTGTATTTTGCTTCCTTAACAGATCTGGGTTCACAGTGCCCACAATGCCAGTGGTTATTTCACTATTTATGGAGATGAATCCCTCCAGTCAGATCACTTCAACTCAAGACTAAGTTTTGGAGACACCCAGACAGTCTGGGCCCGCACAGGCTACCTGGGGTTCCTGCGGAGAACCGAGCTCACGGACGCCAATGGAGGTGAGAGTCAGATGGGCGGGCGGAAGAGCCAGGGCCCCTGGACGCTGAGCACCTGTCTGGGGTTTGGGATCCCAAGCCGGGAGAGCACGCATGAATGCTCGCTGCAAACCAGCCTGAAAATAGCCAGGTGTGAAAGAGAGGAGGGTCAATGAGAGTGTGTCCCCTAGCTGAGCTGTGCGTCACATTCCCTGTGTTCTCATACAAGCCAAGAACAGATTCAGACCCAGGGCTGGAGCCAGGCCTCCATGTCCCATGACAGAGAGCCCATGGCCCCAGCTTTCTGATGCCTCCTTGCCAACTCTGAAGCTGTGCAGTCCCACACAGACCTGCCTGCAGCCGAAACTGGGCGGCGGCTGCAGGCGCACACGCTCTGCCAGGACGGGTCTGGCCCGTCGGGAAGGGGTGGCAGCGAGGCACTCTGGCCGTGGGCGGTCAGTGGGTCTGGGGACTCCGCGCCCGAGGGAAGAAGTGAGGGTGGAGGCTGCTGCTCTCTCTGGGGCTGGCGTCAGGCGGGGACGTTACCCAGAATGAAAATGTAAGAGCCTACTTGCTCTTCAAGTGTTTGCTCATGCCTGAATCTTTTCTCAGCTCCTTGGTTCCACTAATGATAGAAGCAGGGCTCGGTGTTTCAGAGGGTGGGAGCAAGATTTCTTGGTGGATCCTGCCAGGTGCAAACCCAGGAGACCTCAGGGAGGCTTCCTGACATACCTGCCTGGCCGGAGCTGTGCTAACCGGGCCGAACCAGCATAAATTTAGGGAAAAAGTACAAAAATATTTTGGCGTCACATTTGCAATCTGGGACAATCATAGACTGTTTCATTTGAGGGTGCTCTCTGGGGTTCCCATGAAGAACTGAGTTAGAGATGTGAGGTCGGTGATTTTCCAGCCTTCCCCAGGAGATGGGAAGGGGTGGTCCTGGGGGATCCCAGGGCTGGGACGGCAGGGGGTCCCTGCTGCCGTCATCACCAGAAGCCGACAAGTCAATTTCTCCATCTCATCTGACTTACATTGGAAAAGATTTATTTTCTGGTATTTTGTATGTCGATCACTTCTTTCAAATTCACCCTGATGATATACTTGCTACCCTAAAGATTAAGGATGTGTCTCCTGATTTTTAAGGAAAGATGGACTGACTGCATGTTGTCTGCAAGGTTTGCAAGAATGATAAGAATAAATGTAATGGTTATATGAGCTAAGTCAGGAAAGCTTTGTTCACAAACGTTATCAGAAACTACGCTTTCTTTTCCTGCTAAGACATGGAATAATAACCGAGTTAAGACCTCATATGATGGAATCAGAGGGAATTGGATTTAATTTTGGCTGTGCAGTGTCCTAATGTGTGACTTTGGGAGAGCTCCTGAGGACTCAGGCGCATCTGCCACCCCAGGCCCCAGGCAGTGCTCAGACGCACTGAGGACCACGGGATCATGTCTGACGGGCATGGACGCTGATCCAGGAGACGCCGTCCCTCCCATGGCCTCGAGGCTGCAGGGAGGTTGCAGATGCGCCAGCTCTCCAGGGACACAGCACCCTGGCCCGCGGCATTTTCCTTGAGAGCCTCAGGCTGCAGAGCTTCCCCGAGGGAGGGAAATACTGATCCCTTTCTTTGCATCTCTTTCTCACTCTGGGTAGTTTTAATCTTCTCTTCTTGAAGCGGCTTGAGCAGCATGGCGGTGAAACTCACATGTGTTTTCCATGCCCTGAGCAGAGCGCCACGACGCCCTGTATGTGGTGGGGGCCCTGGATGAAGCCATGGAGCTGCGAGGGATGCGGTATCACCCCATAGACATCGAGACTTCGGTGATCAGAGCCCACAAAAGCGTTACCGAGTGGTGAGTGATGGCAGGCGCTCCCACACAAGCAGGACGGGGTTTGTGCGGCCATGGGAGCCCGTGGGGTCCCGTGGAGGCGTCTCAGCCTTGGGCTGTAACCTTCCCTCTAGGGGAATGACTGAGCGCTGAAGGGGTGCTCCTGGGTGGACTCGGTGTCTCAGGCACTTCCTGAGAAGGACGTGCTAACGACTGGATAGTCTCTTCCAGGAGGCCAGGCTGTCGCTGTTCATGTGGTTTTTAGTTTACGAAAGCATGATGTAGGGAAGAAACTGACTGCACACACACAGGCGCAGGGGAGCACTCGTGACAGCAGCTCGGAAACTGTGCAAGTCCACGTGCCGTGTGAGGTGGCCTTAGATGATGAGAGGAGGAGGCAGACTTGCCCCAATTAAACAAAACCTGATGGTGACAAGTCTCCCATCCCAGGTGCCCTCCGAGGGCCAGGGGCCTTGGGGACCTGGGGTCTGCCCTCCCGGCTGTTCGATTGGCTGTGACACGCTCAGTGTGCCCCTTGAGAGGCAGCTGGCCTGGGGGCTGCCACACCGACCATGTTCTCAGGTCACTCAGCACCAGTACGTGGCGTCGAAGCTCAGATCAGGAACCCTGAGGGAGACATGTTCCGAAATCTTTGTGGCAGTCTCTCCTGGGGGTGGATGGGTCTGAGATTGTTCACTGCCTCTTATTAGCTGACGCAGGCTGCAATGTGTTGCCACTTACTGAACCCAACACGGAGGACTTGGCAGAACAGAAGAGATAAGAGATGGAGTAGGGAATGTGTACAGTCCATGCCTGGTCCCGTGGTTCAGACTGGCTACGGCCCTGCTCGCTTTGAAACAAAGTCCTCAAATTGCCAAAGCTCCTCTCCACTCGAGTGTACCAAGGGGACAGGCGCCCAGAAAGATAGCAGGCCCGGCGCCTGCCTCAGTTTCCATCTGAAGAGCTGTAAATGTCAATTTAGCCTTCCATTTTTGTATTTCTAAGGAAATAATTTCATTGGCTTGTGTTGCCTCCCTCAAGTATTTTCTATCTAGTTTCAAAAAGGTTGTTTCCACCTTAAAAGTCTGCGGCAGGGACTCCCTGAGCCCCTTGTGGGTTTGCAGGCCACGATTCTAGTTTTTGTTCTAAGCATCACTGTTGTCCACCACACTGCGGTGTGGCCTCGCCCCGTGGGCATCTGGCCTCATCCTACCTCTGTCCACAGGCGGCACCAGAACGAAGAAAGAGCGGTGGTCTTGTTCTGATGGCTTCAGTCCATTGGAAACTGCCCAGCACAAGCCGCCCTGCTGTCCGCTTTCCTCCTGCTTGCCTTCCTGCCCTTGGGTCCCCCCAGTTACGTCATACTGAGAAAGAAGGATGTGACCCCGTGTCATGCAGTATGACTGTGTCACTGCTGCAGAGTCCAGCCAACCAACTCTCCCTTCTCATCTGTTACCTTCAGAGTGTCAACCCAAATAATCCATAATCAATCTATGAATCAGAATTTGGGGTGAGTTTATTATGAGCCAGGTCTGAGGACTGTAGCCCTGGGGGCATCCTTCCCCTAAGGAAGGAAGGGCACCAAAGAAGTGGGGTGTGCAGAGTAGGTGAATACCATCTTGGAACAAAGAGCATACATCACATATGATAGGAATGTCCTTTTTACAACAGTCATGAGATGCTTAGCTGGCACAGCAGGTCAGTGGTCACAAGGTGAGCACGGCAGGTCGGTAATTAATCCTTAGTTTCCAGGAAGAGATCCTTATCCTTAAAGAAATGCCTATATGGGGGAAGCTACATCCCTATCTTTAAGGGCAGCATTCTTGTCTTCGGGACATTGTAAATGTTTAAAGTAGATGTACAATGCATGCTCAACGGCCACGTCAGGCCCTTTTGGAAAAACAAGATCAGGCCAAATTAGTTGTTTTTTTTTTTTTTGAGGAAGATCAGCCCTGAGCTAACATCCACGCCAATCCTCCTTTTTGCTGAGGAAGACCGGCTCTGAGCTAACATCTATTGCCAATCCTCCTCCTTTTTTTTCTCTTTTTCTCCCCAAAGCCCCAGTAGATAGTTGTACATCATAGTTGCACATTCTGCTAGCTGCTGTATGTGGGACGCCACCTCAGCATGGCCAGACAAGCCGTGCGTCAGTGCACGCAGGGATCCGAACCCGGGCCGCCAGTAGCGGAGCGCACGCACTTAACCACGAAGCCACGGGGCCGGCCCCCAGGCCAAATTAGTTTTAAACCAAATGACTTCCTGATACACTCCAACATATCCTAGTGCCTTGTATTTATTCATCACGAGGTGACCAGGTATAGCCCCCCAGAAAGCTCTGATGGAGGAACATGACCAGCGTCCAGCCCATAGCTTCCTGGCAAACCCCTCCTCAATTAAATATGGAAATCCGACCTGATTCCTGAGACCGTGTCATCAATTTCAAATGCCATAATAAAATTATACCAAAAATGGCAGAGATATACATCTATGTATAATCTGTGGTATCACTGACTCATAGTATGGGCTCACTTGGGCTATGCAGAGCGATATTTTAGTGTCTCAAAGAGTCATGGAAATTCAGCACTAGCACATTTTCTTTGGAACAGCCCTCAGCAAGATTGTTCCCTTAGGTATGCACACTTATCACAAAGCAAAATCCAGAAAGAGAGAGCTGTTGAACACATTTTCCAATATTTCCCTTTCAACTTATATATTGGCCATACTGAACAAAATATGCATTTTTTTACTGATAGGCATACTCTCACACTTTTAGAAAACAATGAGTTTTCCCAAATATTTCCTGCCTCACAGCTGAGACAGAACCTTCTGTGTGTCTGGCATGAGAAAGCAGATACCAGCAGCCCACTGCAGGGCCCTGGAGCCTGGTCCCTCTTCCGTGCGGCCCCCCCCATCCCCCGACCTTCCTGCAGCCTGGTCCCTCCGCGCGGCCCCTCCCCCCGGACCCTCCTGGCCTCCACAGCCTAGCAGACCAGGTGTAATGAATGTTAAGCTTGTTACACAACCACTTTTTAAAAGCCCTACTATATGAGGTTAATGTGGGTTAAAGTGTAAAGCACAGGATTAGGCTTCCACAGATTGGGCAGACTGAATACTCTGGGCGACCCTCCCATTGAACCATCCCAAATAAAACACTTCTGAGTAAATCTTTGACGTTCTCAAGGAACTACCCCACCAGGTAGCTCTTACTGTATCCCAGTCACCCCAAACTCGGCACTTTAAACAGTAATCAGTTATTATGCCCGCACATCTGCAGTTGACTGCTGGGTGATCTGGCCCCACTGTGGCTGGAGCACACAGGTCAGCTGGGCGTGGGGCTGGCGGCTCTTCTCCATGTTTCTGTCCTCCCAGGATGTCCCGCTCCTGCGGTGGCAGAGGAAGCCAGGACTGGCTCAGATGCCCCAGCTGCTCTCCGGCCTCTGCTGACTTCCCACTGACCATGTTGCATGCTGGCCCAAGACCAAGGGCAGGATACCGAGTCCACCCTGGGGGCATAGTGTGCAGATCCAGGGAGGGGCTCTTGCCCCACAGCCCCACGCCCCTTACACCAGCTGGGGGCAGAGGGCAGGGCTGCTCTGAGGGCGAGGCCGCTGTGGAGATCGTGGAGCACGCGGAGCGGCCACCATGAGAGCAGGCAGTAGCAAGTCTGACGACGGGAGGGAGTGAACGCCAGTGAGTGGAAGGAGGGGGCTCAGAGAGACCAGCAGGGCGAGGAGGCTGTTAGCGCTCAGGCAGATCCAGAAAGAACCCAATGGGCCTTCCTGAAAAGAAGACGTGATGATTAAATAAAAACCTTGCCGTACGGTGATGGTGTTTTCTCTCTTCCAGTGCTGTGTTCACCTGGACAAATTTGTTGGTGGTTGTGGTGGAGCTTGATGGGTCGGAGCAAGAAGCCTTGGACCTGGTCCCCTTGGTGACCAACGTGGTCCTGGAGGAGCACTACCTGGTGGTGGGGGTGGTGGTCGTGGTGGACATCGGCGTCATCCCCATCAACTCCCGGGGGGAGAAGCAGCGGATGCACCTACGGGATGGGTTTTTGGCAGACCAGCTGGACCCCATCTATGTGGCCTACAACATGTAGTCTTGTCTCCAGCTCCCCCGGACTTTTTAGAGATGTAACGTTTTTCTCAGTGTCACTGAAGTGTGCGGAAGCGAGGGCCACGTTCGCCAGAATGGAGCCTTTTGCCGCACGCTGGTGAGGAGGAGACTTTCCACGGCGTCCTGATTGGCGTGGGGATGAAATGTGAATTTACCACTGAAGTTTGCTCAGAGGGACTTTGGATTATTGCCTGCAGTTTGTTGGAAAAGCCCATTTCAAAAACTTTCTTTTCTTTTTTTTTTAATTATTGGATAATAAGTGCTTTCTTCGTAAATGTGGTATTTTGTTAAGCCAAAATAGCAATTAAAAAAATATTCAGCCCTTCGGGTGGGTTCTTTTAAACAATTTATGTAGTGTGACGAAGAATTGTTTTCTCTGTTTTAATGTGTCATGAAATCTTAATGACATGGACCTGTTACTAATTTAAGCCATTGCTAGAGCTCATCCTTTTAGGAACGTTTGTTGAGGTACGAGAAACCTTCCAAACAGCACCTTCAAATTAGATTTTAGCCGCTTTCTTTGTCAGAAATGTGCTGGAAAACAAAGGCTAACATGTGGCCTTTGGAGTTAAGCCTAGAATGAGGAGAAATTATAAATAAGGTGTATTTCGGCAATTATCTTACAGATATCTTTGTACTAAACTAAAAGATAAAATAAGTTAACTACTTCATATGTAATTATGTACAAAACGTTTAATTTATTTTGATCTCTTTAGAAGTATAAAAGAGAAAAACATTCAAGAATATTAAAGTCTTGTAATGTTTGCTAATATAAAAAAGTGTTGTATTATCTTGCGTGGATAGTATCACAACAAATATATATATATGAAATATAAATTCACCAATGAACCGAGGAGATTTTCAAGTTTAAAATGCAGAGCCTGTCACTTGCATGGTGTCCCCTCCATGGAACTAGATAGAGAGGCTCGCACACCCACTTTGCTGACACAGCCGCCGCAGAGCGCCCGTGGCCGGTCTGAACGTTCCCTCCAGAGCCAGAGAGCAGCAGGCGAGACTGCCGTCTCAGAGGTGGCGGAGGGGTTTGAGGCTGCTGGGCGCTGTTTTTCCTTCGCTGTAGGGGCGACCGCGAGCGGCTGGTGCCCGCCCGCCTCACGACACTGAGCAGGCATGAGGGAAGGCAGGTGGGAGGAGCACTCTTCTCTTAGCTGCAAGAATTCGTTGCACAATGTTTTTATCCTTTTTGTTACTGTCACCTTTCTTTGGTCCTTGGTATGAAAAGGAATGATGTTCTGTGGTCATTTGCACCGGGCTGCGTTGATTCCCCTCAGATGGCCACTGTGTGGAGTGGACAAAGTGTCCAGAACCGCTTTACGGGAAAAGACTCACATAGGGAAACGTCACCTCTGCCAGCTGTCTGGGGTTCCCTGGCCAGCGTGAGCAGAGCCCACGGGGAACCTGCGCGAGCTGCCCCAGGACTCCGAGCAGAGCCACTGGCCGCAGCGAGGAAGCCTCACGGCTGCCTTCACTCGCCACCTGGGGATGACACATTTCTGATTTCAGTCTCGCTGGTGCCTCACACGCCTTTGAATTTCCAGAGCTCGTCTGTGCCAACCAAGAAGAGGTACGAGCTCTCCAAGCGCGATTTACTTTACGATTGCCCCAGTATCACCCTGCAGTGGCTCTCGTTGCTAGATATGCATGAGTAGGATTGTTGCTGGTCAGAATTTAGATTCTCTTCTCAGCATACCATGGGCGATGTCTTCATCTGCCTTTGCTGTATGTGCCAGCAGTAAGCCCTTTGCTAAAAGAGAGTTTTGTTTGACTTCTGAGATCCAAGGCTAATTGTTTTTTAAAAATTTTAAGTGGTATATTTTTTTAATTGTCTGTATATGGGGTGCATCCTTCCATCTCCACAAATCATTTGATTTTTAAAATATTGTTTGACTTCATTGCTGTGTATGAATATTTCTTGGCATCCTTCAGATACACATTCCTACAGTCTTCTGCTTCTGAAGGAGAAAACCCACCACACACAGAAAAAAGACATTTTCTTACACACACCACCTTGTTTAAGGGGAAGGGGGTTTAAGGTTTCAGATAAGGTACTGGTTAGGAAACACAGTTGCGGGATAACTTGTCAGGTCCAGCTGAGGTCGAAGCAGACAAATCAGGTGTCACTTCAAACACAAGCTCCCCTTCACCAGATGAGCTCCACACGCCAGGCGTGCGGTTGTGGACGTGGTCTCTGGTGTTAGAGGTGAGGTCCAAAGGGTTGGGGGCTGGGATCGAAGTTCTTTTTTTTGTTGTTTTTTTTGTGAGGAAGATCAGCCCTGAGCTAACATCCATGCCAATCCTGTTTTTGCTGAGGAAGACCTGCCCTGAGCTAACATCCGAGCCGATCTTTCTCCACTTTATGTGGGACGCCGTCACAGCACGGCCTGACAAGCAATGCGTCGGTGTGCACCCGGGGTCCGAACCTGGGCTGCCCGCAGCAGAGCGTGCACACTTAACCGCTACGCCACGGGGCCGGCCCCATGGGATCGAAGTTCTGTTTTGCAGAAAAGGAAAGTAGACACTTAAGAACCCCCCCATGTCAGCAATAAAGAAGGATCATTCTGTATTAGAAATCGTGTCGTAGATAACTCGTTCCTGACAAGGGAACAGATGTTTGTCTTGTGACCTTGTGCTTCTGAAGTCAGACAAAACCGTGTCATCAGCTTGCACAAAGGAGGGTGCGCAGTGCACATGGAGACACAGACGTGACCCGATAGGGCGGCTTCCTCATGGTGCTTGTTTATTATCTCTATTTAATCCTGCTTGACACTTTACCCAAGGGAAACGGTCCCTTTTATCAGTTGAATGTTAGCAGCGTTATTTCATAGAGTGTGATGGCTGGTTAGAGAAATGTACTCAACCAGTCACAGTGTCAAAGGAAATTTTTATGTGCGAAGGATGGCAACCTTCTCGTATGTTACACCACCAGTAAGCTTTGTACATCTGTGATAACGCCTGTTTTATATTCAAATGAACAAATAAAAGCTTTTATTTTTGTTGCTCTGGAAATAGCAGTTTCTTAATTGGTCCCCTGGAAAACTGGGACAGCTTCAGTCCCAGGAAGGAAGTGACTCCTACAGGGAAATGTGTCTGACTCTGTTTACATAATTTGTTGCATTACTTATTAGTACAGAGAATCATACTTTGAACAATGTTTAAATTTTGGTGTGGGCATTTATTGCGAAAAAAATTCCTATGGCAACAAATGTTTTGTGAAATGTTTTTTTAAATTCTTTTAAATATATCTAAATATATTTGTTCACATTTTGCTGCAAGTGTACAGATTATTGGAAACTTCTTGGGACAGAGAGTAAACATGAGTCCTGTGTGCCGATACTCTCTGTCAGCTGTGTGACAGGCACGTTGCAGCTCAGGAAGCAGGTCTAGTGACCGCTCCAATCCTAAGTACCTTTGGTCTTTGACAGCCAACAAATCTGAGAATTCTTATGGCTTTGTCTTTCGGAAAACAGTAGCAAGTTAACTGGCCTTCAGCCTAATGGTTATAAAAAACTAAGTTTTATACACATGAAAATCAGTAGACCTCAAATCTGCACACAGATCACTGGGGTTACCTATGTGCCTTTGTATTAGGACTCCACTTGTCCCCCCACAACTTTTGTCCAAGAGGGTCCCACACTAATTGGGGGACGATGCTTTGGGTGTTTGAAGGTGGATGCTGATGTAAGACCAGCCTGGCTGCATCAGATCACACAGAATATTGAAGGAAGACCCCAGTTTCTCAGATGGTGGCCTAACAGTGATGAGTCAGATGAAACAAGGGGACCAAGAGAGCTGCCCCTGCACAGCCCTGCTTTGGACAGTGTGTGCATACCTGTGTGTACATGTTTACCTGTGTGTACCTGAATGTGTGTACCTGTGTGTGCCTGTGTACATGTGTGTGTACCTGTGTATGGGTGTGTACCTGCGTGTGCCTGCGTACCTGTGTGTGAGTATAGACTGCTCTTCTGTGGTGCCATGTTCTGCATCCTCCAGCATAATGCTGAGTTCTTGGGACACAATCAACAGTAGTTTGTTTGGCTGGTCGATTATCATTCTGTCTTATTTTCCTCCTCGATATCTCAGCATAGAGACGGGATGGCCTGTCCACCTTGAGAAGCGCTGAGGCTGCTTGTGTGGAGAGAAGTTCCATTTCCTTAACACCCACGTCTCCTGTGACTTGCAGCTTCCACTCACTACTTTTCTCAGTGGAACTCACAATCCCTGATCCCCTCTGACATAGGAAACCTTTTATTTTCTACCCTATTCCAGAAAGGCATGCAGGACCCCATGTGGCCATCCTTCTAGAGTGAGAACAGCAGCTGGTGCCAGCACTGTCTCCCTGTCACAGTCAGCCTGGCTCAGTCGAGTGGTACTCTCAGTCACTACCTCTTCCTGTCTTTCAGTCATTAAGGTTAATTCTGTGAGTAAAATAACCGGGCAAGACCAAGATCAATCTGACATCTTAGCAAGAAATTTCGATCGGCCCCTGTGCCATGGTGGGCTGCTGTTTTGTGGTGGTGACATCTTGAGATGGTTGACAATACCAGCTCCCTCTGGCGTGTGCGGATTTCTCCGATGTACAGTGACTTTTCAGCCCCTGCCCTCCCCTGACACACACCTCTGTCTTCATCCCTCTCCATTTCATCATCACCAAGCTGGACTCAGACTTCCGTGGGTGGAGAGAGTGTGTGAACTCTGTCCCGCTGTGGCCCATTCAGCCCCTGTCAGAACTGGCATTCGAGTGGAAATGAGTGGAAATAAAGGGAAGGGACAAAGCAGACTTCTGTCACTGCCTCAGAGACCAACTCTCAAGACCTCTGGGCAAACAGCTTCTCAGCCTGGCCAGCCGGCCTTATTTCCAGTCTTGTTTGTCATCAGGGCATCGCCCTGCCAGGGGAAGGAACAAGATAGGAAGCAAAAAGTTAAAGTACTTTAGGAAGTTGGGTTACATAGCATATTTGGACAGAAAAACGCATTTTCCTCTACTTCCCATCCTGTGTGAGGAGAGTATACAAGACGCCACATTCTAGATGGTTCTCCAGGTGTGGCAGACCCCAGATGGAGCTGTCAGTGCTTCAGGAGGCATAGACTGACCAGTGAAAGAGCAAAGGGGTAGAAATTGAAAGTGGGAAGAAAGAATCAGCGACTGGTGGTGTGTCCAGCCTTGGTGCCTGGCAGGGCGGAGGGCAGAGGAGGACGACGGCGGCTTGCGCTCTTCTCGCGTTGCTGTTTCCTGACATTGTGTTGACGACGTGTGTTCACTGTCTCTTCACCCGTCCGGCTTCCCTGCGGACAGGGTGTGTTTCCCAAGGCCTGCCACGGTGCCCTGCACAGAGCAGGCACTCAGTGAACGTGCTATGGGAAGGGACTCCTCCCCGGTGAGTGGCATCACGGGCCTTGTGAACACAGGGCTGGACACCCTCCCGGGAGACGGGTGATAGAACGGGTGGGTAAGAGGAGCTCCTGGAGACATGATGAACTTGCTTGTTTTCATAATACAGAAAATGCCGGTGAGTCCTGAGAGCCACTCAGGCCTTGTTGCCAAAGGTCATTAATTATAGTAATCCATTGTTGGGGCCCAAGTATCCCCAGCATTTGACAAACGACTAAAACAACACAAAGAGGATGAAGGATGACAAGGGGAAGACGGGAAGGAATTAGAAATAAATAATATGGTTAGTGAAGAAGTAACTCATTCACAAGATGATACACATTAGAAAGATCCATGAAATAGTCAAGTAGTATAAACCGAAAGTGGGAAGGAAGGAGAGCATGGAAGGATACAGAAAGGAGCCAGGGCAGAGTGGACATCAAGGTGATCAGAGCCCGTGCGGCCTGCCGCCCACTGCCTGTTGGGACAGGACAGAGTGCAGCGGAAATGGTCTCAGTTTTTGCTACAATGTGAAGGGAATGGGTGGGTAACAACCCAGACGAATGCATCCTGGCACCTCTACTCTAGCTAACCCCAGGAGGACGTCCCCAGAACCTGTTCTTCAGCAGACCCCCAGGTGACCACCCTGGGCCACGCCCTGCAGCCCAGGGGTGGCTGTGAAGCTGGAGCTTGAGGTGGGGCCGTGTGGTGCAGAGCAACGTGGAGCCAGAGCTGCCTGCGGCCCACCTTCCCTCGGGACACTTTTGCAGAGGGCTGGATGCACCCCTCATCTTGTTGAGTGACCCCTGGTGAGTCACTGAGCGTGGCTCTGCCTCCTCGAGCCAGTGTAAAGGAAGGCCTTTCCTCCATGTTCTGCTCCTCAGACCCACTGCACATGGCAGACTGAACCTGCCCTGACCATTATCAGACAAGCTTTCCACTGAGGACTCAGGTTTCCCCTGTGGGGCAGGTGGCGTGAAAGATGCCAGGACTGAGAACCCACAGAACCTGGCTTTTGTAGTCTCTGACTAGCGCAGAACAAGCCGGGAATCCTCAACGACAACGTTCTCCTCCGCGAGAGTGGCTTCCAGCTGCTGAGGGTGTATCGCAGGTTTTCAAGGGCTGTATCAGGTCAGTGTAATCTGGACAATCACTTCGGGAGTCCATAGATGGAAAACAAGTGGACATGCCTCCAGGCACGTGGTTCCTGCAGATGGAAACGAGGGCTGTGAAGACAGGTTGGCTGATATTGATTGGTTTTAGGGGTTCTCTTGGTTAAAATTAAACCATTAGTCATTAGTGGGCGGTCACACTTGGAAAGATGACAGGGCACTCTGATGATGCTGCATCATGACAGCCCCAGCGAGGGTTTAACCAGATCGTTGCCAACCTTCTAAGGCGGGGGCTGCAACATTTCTGTTAGGCTTTGGGGACCACGTAGCTTCTGTCTCAACCACTCGGTTCTGATGTTGTGACCCACGCAGTGCTCAGACCAGGGGGCGGGGCTCTCCTCCAAGAGAGCTTGCTTTATGGACACAGAAGTTTGAAGTTCATATAATTTCCCATCATGAAATATTATCCTATTGATGTTTTGCAATTGTTTAGAAGTATGAACACTATTTTAAACTTGTGGGCCCTACAGAAAATAGCAGCCAGATTTGGCCCTGGGGCCGTCGTTTGCTGACTCCTGTTCTAATACACAAATAATAAGGCAAACTTTTGGGAACTAACTTTAGATTCTTATTTTTCTTTCAAAAGGAATTAGTTTCTGAGTCTGATAGTTTGGGCTTTAAAAAATTCAATCGTGGGGGCCTGGTAGTATAGTGGTTAGGTTCACGCTCTCCCCTTCGGCAGCCCAGGGTTCACAGGTTCTGATCCCGGGTGCAGATGTACACACCACTCATCAAGCCATCCTGTGGTGGTGTCCCATATATAAAGTAGAGGAAGATGGGCACAGATGTTAGCCCAGGGACAGTCTTCCTCAGCAAAGAGAGGAGGATTGGCATCGGACATTAGCTCAGGGCTAATCTTCCTCACCAAAAAAAAAAAAAAATTTCAATCTTATGACCTCTGTCTCATTCACTTATTCAACCAACAGATATGTGAGCACCAGCCATGGGGAGTTGCTGGGATCAAGTGGTGACGGAGCCCCACCATGCCTCCGGGTTTCGGGTCCAGCGGAGACTGTGACGCTGAGCTGGCCTCGTGGCTCCACTCCTCAGTCAGAGGCTCAGGTGTAGTCTTGGTTCTACCACACAGAGGAGATAGTGATCTCTTCTGGCTCATTTAGCCTGTTTCCCTGCCATCAAGCAGCTAGTGCTCCTTGTAACTAACCTACCTCCAGACACAAGAGCGCCCTGGGCTGCCGGGACTGCGCAGAGAGGAAGGGTTTTTGTTTCTTCCAGTAAACCTGGATATAACCAAAGACATGTTTTGGATTTTTGGGGGCATCATTCTGCTTATACAGAAGGGTGTACGTGTGGTCACCCTGTTGGGTAGGTGGGTCTTGGCAAGTAAAGGAGACTAGACCAGCACACAATACTCCTCTCTTAATTTAGGAGTGAGGGTGCTGGGTGTCCTGGACTGACAGAATAATCCAGTGCTGTAATCTCCTGGAAACAATAACGAAATCCC